GGTGCAGGTGTCCCGGCGTTTCATTGCATCTGTATCTTTGGGGTAAATCCCTAACAGTGCAATTGCTGGATCGTAGGGCAGGTCTATTTTTAACTCTTTGAGGAACCTCCACACAGTTTTCCAGAGTGGCTGCACCAGTTCACATTCCCACCAACAGTGCAAGAGGGTTCCCTTTTCTCCGCATCCTCTCCAACATTTGTGGTTTCCTGCCTTGTTAATTTTCCCCATTCTCACTGGTGTGAGGTGGTATCTCTTTGTGGTTTTGATTTGTATTTCCCTGATGGCAAGTGATGCAGAGCATTTTCTCATGTGCATGTTGGCCGTGTCTAAGTCTTCCTCTGTGAGATTTCTCTTCATGTCTTTTGCCCATTTCATGATTGGATTGTTTGTTTCTTTGGTGTTGAGTTTAATAAGTTCTTTATAGATCTTGGAAACTAGCCCTTTATCTGATACCATGACCAAGTAGGATTTATCCCCGGGACACAAGGTTGGTTCAACACTCGTAAAACAATCAGTGTGATTCATCATATCAGCAAGAGAAAAACCAAGAACCATATAATCCTCTCATTAGATGCAGAGAAACCATTTGACAAAATACAGCATCCATTCCTGATCAAAACTCTTCAGAGTGTAGGGATAGAGGGAACTTTCCTCAACATCTTAAAAGCCATCTACGTAAAGCCCACAGCAAATATCATTCTCAATGGGGAAGCACTGGGAGCCTTTCCCCTAAGATCAGGAACAAGACAGGGATGTCCACTCTCACCACTGCTATTCAACATAGTACTGGAAGTCCTAGCCTCAGCAATCAGACAACAAAAAGACATTAAAGGCATTCAGATTGGCAAAGAAGAAGTCAAACTCTCCCTCTTCGCCGATGACATGATACTCTACATAGAAAACCCAAAAGTCTCCACCCCAAGATTGCTAGAACTCATAAACTTTATTTTAACCTCTGTTATGAATCCAGTATTGAGGAACTCATACCCTACAAATAAGATGAAATGGCTTACCCAGTGTCACGCAGCTATAATTAGTGGATGTAGGATTCTAATTCACATGTCCTGATTCAGAACATCTGTGCTCTTTTTCTGATTTGCTGTTTTCATGGGTCTTACAAATTAAAACAGGAAGAGTCTAGATTAACCAACATCTTCTTTTCTTCTCATAAAAGAGCACCAAAACCAACCATCCCTTTTACTCTGGGTTCTTTATTCTAAGATTACTATTAACTATCCTTATTCTTTTTTTAACAAGAAGTTATTGAATTTCTGTGGGAAATACTGTGCTCTGAAATGCTTAGTATGGACACAATTTATTCTCGGTATGTATATGTATTTTTCCAGTTACTTATTTATAATTTTTCCAAGCATTATAAAAATGATTTATGGTAACTTCAAATCTATGTGAAATATAGCAAAATAATGTAAATTAGAAGCTACTGATACAGAAAGCATGCATGCACACACACAGTAAAAAATATAAAGTGCATTCCAAAATGAGACTCAAGAAGTTGTACTTACATTTCCAGGTCCTCTAGTATATTGAGCAGTAGGAAGCCATGAAGTGATTAACCTTAAAGCATGACCTCTAATAATTAATCATCCTGAGAGCAAATAAATTGTGCTGTATATAATGTGTATCTTAAAAAAATCAAAAAAAGGTATTTAAGAGGTAATACCCCTCTAAACAATATTTAATCAGAAAGAACATAGAAGCTGACCAGTACATTAGAATGGATGAATGATGATGATGATGATGGTGATATGATCCTGATATTTATTTGGATTTTTACATAGGGTGTGAGTGGGGAATGGGTAATTTTGGAGGTGAAAGAATATTTTTTCTGTCAAGTGTTAATTTGTTCTCAGGTTATATTCATACTTGATATCATTAACTGAGTATCAGTGGTTGGCATAGGAGTCTGAATTATTTTGTCATGAGCATATTACATAGTTAAGTTTCAGATGAGTGTAGTACACTCATGGATAACTTCTGTATCTTTGGTTTGGAAGTAATTCTTTTTTAAGGAAGTAGAATCTACTGACTTGTTAGAATGAATGGAATCCCAAGTACGTCCTCTTCACATTCTCAGAATATGAATACGTCGAGGACTAGAAAAGGAATTATTTATTGGTCTTTCTTCTTCATTAACATGTGTTCCTTGATCTTACATTAACCATATGTTGACAGAAATATTATTTTAATTATTGAGGTAAAATCCCAATGAGTCCTATGCTACTGAAGACGTTCTTCATGTGTATTGTCAATCTGACAGAAACTAGGGCAGAATAATACCAAAGTGGCTCTATGGTGGGACTTAATTTGCATATGGCAGTAGTCAGTTTACAGAGAAAGAGTGATGGGTGAGGTCATATTTGTGTAAATACCATTAAGGAGACAGATTCAGCGTGATCTATGGCTGGATGTACATTTCAGCTGGGGTTTTGGGGGGGATTTTTTGTTGTTTTTAATTGAGTCACGTTGAACTCTCGACAGAGGTAAAGCTAAACAGAAACTATGCTTTCTCATATATATTCGTAAAACAGCTACTTGAAAATACTTGAGTGATTTGTACAGTATTAAACTTCCAGATAGTGGAGATGGAGAAAACCTAATTTCAGTAATAGATGAACTTTTCCTAGTCTTTTCCTAGGTGCCACCTAGATGCTATCATTGCCCTTCAACTCTTCTCTTTTCCAAACTCGTCTTTTCAGTTACTCTCTCTCAGGAAATGGCTCATATAATCCAGAAGTCATCCTTAACCAAAACAGCATGCAAATGGGCCTTGAAGGTTCTAAGAGAAGCTTTTATAGCTGAATACTGTGGCATACACATTCCAGGCACTGTACTAAAAAAATAATGACTAATGGGTTAGATTGAGTGGACTAATTTTTGCTTACGGTAATTATGCTTTAGTTAGGTCTTAAAAGATTTTCTATTTTTAGATATGCTTACTAAAACATTTATACATGAATTTATGTAATGTGTAGCATGGGCTTCAGAATAATCCAAGGGTGGAAGGAGTAAGTGAAGGTGTAGATTAAACAAGATTGAACATGAATTAATAATTGTTAGAGTTGGGTGGTAAATGCATTCAGATTCATTACACTTTTCTCTCTGCTCCTGTGTATGTTTGAAATTTTCTATAATTTTTTTAAATGTGCTAGTGAATGATGTGTCTACTTAGGGCCCAAAATATTACTTTTCCATCCTTCGTGCATTAAAGACACAGAGGAAACATTAGCTCTTTCCCATCTTCCTCTTATATATTAGAACTATCTTACGGAAATAATTTTATGTAGATCTATAAGAAAATTCCATCACAGGCACAGAATATGGATCCCTTTTGACTTTAATGATAAGGGAATTTTATCTAGATGATATATATCATCTATGCACTTGGCATTTAATGTCGTTATCAAAAGATAGGAGAAAAGTTTAACTTTCCTGAAATATTTACTCCCATGTTAGGAAATGTTAATGTCCTATAAAAGTATTAAGTCTTAGTTTTAGCATCTGTTAAAATGATGGAGCAAAATATTTAAGTTGCCTTGAAGTGCACCAATTTAAGCATATATAGCAGTAAACATCAAAGGATTTTGTGTTAGCCTGCCTGTATTTCTCCACACCACCTTAGTTCAACTACTTAACCATCCCAAGTTTCTTTCCCAAATTATCCAACAGTAGAGGAATAAGGGAATGTTGTGTTTTCATTAACCGATGCAAAGAGCATTTGTTTTTCTTCTTTGACAATGTATGTGGCAAAGGGAGATGTTCACTTGTTAATCTGGGTGACGTTTGGAAAAGAATAACTCACCTAACCGCAGGATCTGCCAGAGTGGATGCCCAGCAATTGTCAGTGAGAGGAGAGCAAAAGTATTACTTCACTGCTGATCCGAATGTCCATGTAGGGCATGTAACCAGTTTCCCATCATACCAAGTGGGTGGGACAGTCCTGAGTTAAGTACTGAATGGTTTCTTTGAAGATGTTAGCTCTCTTTGCATCCCTTGTTTCATCTCTAAAATGGTGCTAATCCCATTTCTGCCTTAAAATGATTGAATGATTTTTACTATTTTTTAAATAACACTACTAAAATCAGGGTAAGATGCAGAAACAAAAACATGGCAGCGAGCACCATACACCATCTATCTCTGGGAGGCAGCACTGCGTGCAGGGTGAGGAAACGGTCTTGTTCTATTTCCTTGCCAATTGTGAATTCTTAATTCAGTTAGTTTTGAGAAATGGACTTGGGAGACTTTGAATAAAACCTTCAGTAATTACCAATAAATAAGTTTCCGGTCCAAAAGTATTAGTACAGATCTTTTGCAGTATCTAGTTTGAAAGCAAGATGAGGGGTGAAATTTAATATTTCACATGGTTTTATATGCCAAATGAGCTGTGTCAGAATGACAGGCTCTCTGGACAGTTGATGGTTCCTAGATGTTGATTTGCTTTATTTTTTCCCCACCAATTACAAATCAAGATTTTTTGAAACCTAGGCAATTGATGGAAATATTAAGCCATAGTTACATGCACAGGAACTTTTCCAGAAATGCTTGTTCTATTTGGTACTACTACTTTATTTATAATGAATTTTTATCAAAATATCCTTTTATAGAATGTTTAATTAGCACTGGAGCCTTTTGGGGAAAAGAGAAATGATTTGATTATCACTTTTCTGTAGGACTCTCAAATTTTGATACATTACAATTGTAAGTGAACATTCAAGAAAATGAAGTTAGAGTCCTTTTCTTTGGCAAATCAAACTTTTTTTTAGAGAAGTTTTTCTTTGAATATTTGTGATACTGAACATTTAACATCTATTGTGTTGGATCTCTGTTCTACTCTGTTATTTCTTCAAGACAGATCTTCCTTCACTCTCACTGCCTACTCTAAAACCTCTTGTTTGCAACTTCTTTTTATAGTGGGGAACATTGGCCCTTATCAGCACTGTTTTATTTGAACAAAGACCAATCATATTTTTTTGTTTGTTCAGGAGTCGGATGGCCAAGGCTGCCCCTTTTGCCGCTGTGAAATAAAAGGAACAGAGCCCATAATCGTGGACCCCTTTGATCCAAGAGATGAAGGTTCCAGGTGCTGTAGCATCATTGACCCCTTTGGAATGCCAATGCTGGATCTGGATGATGACGATGACCGAGAAGAGTCCTTGATGATGAATCGGTTGGCAAATGTTCGAAAGGTAAAATGATAGAGCACGGGTTTAATCAGGGTGGTGTGTGGGCATAAAAAAAGCAATGATGCTGTCACCAAAGGGCTATGAATGAGTTGGTTTGGGCTTGGGAAAGAAAGATGGAAGAATCAAAAGGAAGGCGAAGACCTAAGTCATGTTGATAGGCTAATGAAGTCATAGATTGAGAAAGAACTAGTGTCTACTCGAAGTACGCTTGCTGGTTTTAAACTTCAAAATGAGAGATGGTGAGAGCTTTCATATAGAATTAAACATTGTCTAAGACTGGCAAGAACAGATCTGTGAAGAAGAAATTAAGAAAGAAAAAAGACAGAAAATATAAAAATTGGAAATGAGGAAACTGAATAAAAAGTCTTTGTTGAAGTCTAAAGGAGGTATCTGTTAGAGTTATTTTCTTACCAGGAAAGCCAGCCTTCCTTTCGGCTACTGAGAAGTCAGATAAGATTTACCTTTGTGAATTTACCATAGTGTGTGCTCTGCTTATCAAAATTGCTGACTCAGAAAATTGACTTTGTCAATTTACTGAGAACAGATGCTGCTGCCCAGTGGAGTAGCTGAGCTCACAAAAGACTAGTCAATGAACTAGAATGCCAACTGAATAATTTACAAGCCAGAAATATCATGTTAGGATTACTGGACTGTTAGATATCAGGTTATTCTGTGTACAGAAAGATCTAGGAGATTTGGATTACACTCAGGAGTTCTGTGTTCTCAAAATCAGAAAAATGGCAATGAGTGGTATGAAAGGATCTGCAAATGGAGTGTGAAGGTGCCCCCTCCCAGCCCTCCTCCTGACTCCAGGCAGACAGGGCTAATCAATCATGGCACTCATCCCTGCTGAGGTCACAGCCTTATAGAACCTCCACTGCAATTCATTAGGACTTGGCAGGTAACGTGAAACCTATCTGCCATCTAGGTGGAGTGATAACAACGCCTAATGGCATCAGATCATTTGCATCTGTCCCTGTGGTAGGGAAACCCTTGGTGCAGGGAACAGACGAAGCCTTTGTTTGAGTTACTCCTTCTTTAGGATATGCAAATTGAGTTCCTGTACTTTCTATATTTCAGTGTTGCACCTCAACAAAGATGTATACCCTGGGTATTTTTTACGTGTACAGATACATCACCATCACCAACATGGCTACTCTGACATTTTCAGTCTGAGATTATTTCTTTTCTTCCTCTCATTAATTTTTCATAAACATCATAATTTAACTCCCAGAGAAACTACTCTTGATTCTACCCTTTAATCCTGAGAACTTAGTTTTGAAGCACATAATTCCTTTGACCCAATAGATGGAAGAAAGGAAATAGTTGTTACTCAGTATCCTTTATATGAGCAAGGCGTGTTTACATATTTTACTCTCTGAACAACTTGGAGAGGTAAATTTTCTTCTCATTTTTCAGATAAGGAGTGAGGTACAGACTACAACATGTCACCTGGCTGCATTAGTAAGTTGTGGAGACTAGATTCTAACTGATGTTTTCTGGGTAACAGTACAGCAATGTATCCCAAATCACACGTGTAGCTCTCCCCCATACTGAGTCATGAAATGGTTTCTACTAAGTCAGATTATTGAGTGTATGCTAGAACATTCCTCATACAATATTACTAATTTTAATTAATAGGGGTAATAAAATGGTACATTGATGATAAAATAGTAATGTAATAACAGGGCACTGTTCTGGGTTCTTAAGTCCTTGATATCATTTGATTATCTCACCACCCAATGAAGAAGCTACTGTTACTGTCCTGTTCTACAAAGGATAAATAAAACTGAGGAAGAAAGAGCTGAAATAGCTTGCCTAAGATCCCAGTGCTACTCTATAGCAGAACCAGTACTTTATTCCAGATCTTCGTAACTTCAAAACTCCAGTTGTGGGATCCCTGGGTGGCGCAGCGGTTTGGCGCCTGCCTTTGGCCCAGGGCGCGATCCTGGAGACCCGGGATCGAATCCCACATCGGGCTCCCGGTGCATGGAGCCTGCTTCTCCCTCTGCCTGTGTCTCTGCCTCTCTCTCTCTCTCTGTGTGTGTGACTATCATAAATAAATAAAAATTAAAAAAAAAACAAAAAACAAAACTCCAGTTGTGAACCATCACCCAGTATGCCTCTTTTGCCCTCCTTGCAACATGCCACACACATTGTCCTTGATAGAGTGTAACTACTTGTCTTCTGAAGGTCTTTCCAGTTCTGTAATATAATGTATGTTATGAATAATTACTGACCCCCCGATACAGTCTTTTTTTAAAAGATTTTATTTATTTATTCATGAGAGACACAGAGAGAGAGAGAGGCAGAGACACAGGCAGAGGGAGAAGCAGGCTCCATGCAGGGAGTCGGACATGGGACTCGATCCCAGGTCTCCAGGATCACGCCCCGGGCTGAAGGCAGCGCTAAACCGCTGAGCCGCCCGGGCTGCCCTCCCCAATACAGTCTTAACCAGAAGTTAAAAGTAATTTGAATTTGATCTGTTGATAAAAACATAAAATTATAAAAATATTTATGCCCTATAAAAAATATTTATACTCACATGTACCTAATGGGTCACCGAAAATCAAATTCAGTTAAGACCTGCTAATTAACACATAATGACTACTAAATCTGTTTTCCAGGATACTAGCCATATGTGGCTAATTTAAATGTAACTTCAAAATAATAAAAGTCTAATAAAGTGTTCCTCAGTCACATCGAACAGATTTTAAATGCTCAGTAGCCACTTGTGTTTAGTGGGTACCATATTGAACTATACAAATATAGAATATTTTCTGTGGGTATTGAGATATCTTTTATTGATATAATAGAAATAGCTATTCTCCAGTAGATAATTCTGTTGGACGGAGCTTTCTTAGATCATCCCTGTAGGCTCTGAATGGAAGAAGCTAGGTCTTGATGCAAAATACCTTTCCATTTAATTTAATAACCTAATGGTCTTAGCTTGGCCTGGATATTTGACAGATATCTAGCCTGCTATGGCCTGCTTTTCTTGGTTTGTTTTTCTGTGAGCGAATGATTTTACATTTTATATGAGTATATATATTTAAATGAGTTTATAAGTACCTACCTAATTTCTTTTTTTTTTTTTTTCTTCTTGGCTTGGCTTGCAAAACCTAAAATATTTCCTGCCTAGCCCTTTAAGAAAAAGATTTCATCCCCTGGGTCTAGGACACAGGAAGCATATAAAGAATGTTTATTGAATGCGTGGATAATAGGGAATGACAGAAAAGTATTTGAGAAACATACAGCAGCTCAAGTAGTTCACATGACCTAGGAGGTAATGTTTCCTAGCTAGGGAAAAGGCATTTCACTTTTCTTCACTAAATGGATTTTCTTCTTTCAGTGATGGATGTCAGGGGAGGAGAGTGGGGACTTAAGAGTAATTCTTTCAAGAACTTTGTATACTCTAACTGCGTGGGGCGGGGGCGGGGGGAACAGGCGCTGCCCCTGTGAGGTTAGGGAACTTTGCGTCTTGGTCTGTTTCCCATTGAATGAAGTGGAAGCTTGAGCCCTGCTTAGTAGTGGCACTGACAACCGCAAGGAGTCACTGGTGACATAGAAGGAGCCCCAGAATGTTCAGGGCGACTTTCGTGGTTCCCCCAGCTCTTCTCGCCCATTCTCACCACACATGTTTTGTTCTCCTGGGCACGCTGGTGAGCTTTCTGTCAAGGGAGTTGAGAGGTTTTTACACTGATATTCTTTTTATTTTACCAAGAAAAGGATGGTGGTCTCAGGCATGTGTCTTTCCGGAAGTCCCACTTCAGTGGCTTATTTGGCCGTCACCAGTGTCATTTCATAAAGCTGCCCTACCCTCGGTGTTACTTCTCTACTTTCCTTTGGCAGTTGTTAGATATTGGAGAAATTTAAACAACTCGTAATTATTTGTTTTTTTTTTAAGTTGAGTCATACTTCAATTACATGTCTTTATGTGCACTGATCTGCTTCTAGTCAATTAAACAGATTGTAAATTTTACAATATTTCATAAACCCCTGCCACTTCACTTTGCATAAAACCTAAATTTTAGTGTAGATACAAGCATCGGTCTTTCTGACTAATTGGGAAAAATGTTGCTATGACATTATGTTCTCATGGCTCTTTATTTTTATATGTGCTTGTGTTTCAGGAGTTACACTAAATTGTTTTGTTAGATTTAGAGGACTGCCTTCTCCATTAGACGATTAATTCTTAAGGCCGGTGCCAATGTCTTCTTTCTTTTTGTGTTATCCTGGTACGTAAACACAGGCAGTAAATATTTATTAAATGAAATAATAATATGTACATGCATGCTCACATGTTCTTTGAAATCAGTGCCCTGATCCTATACATCTATCTTTATTCCAAATTGAAGATTGAATTTAAATATACAAAATACCAGATTATAGGCTCTATTGAGTTTTGTCTTCCATCAGAGATTATAAACAAATATCACACTATCATTTTGATGCAATAGCTCTTCTGAGTTTTCTTCCTCTCTGGTTTTTCAGTCTGTTGCATCATTCATTCACTTACCCACCCACTCGCTCATTTATTCATTCATTTTTAAAACATTTCATTTTCTCCTTTCTCAGAATGACTGTAAGTCATTGTCCAGTGGAGTGGTTCCATTTTCTTCCATCTGCTGTTTCAAATACTCATCTTCCTCCTGTTTCTGAGCAGGTTGATGACTGTGTTGTGAGATAATTCCTGCCTGTCTTAAGCATATTGCATTCTTTAAATTAGTAATGCTTCTATCATAGCATGGAGGACTGTGCTGTTTGTATTATTCCTGTTACCATGGTGATACCCTGTGGCTGGAGTTTATAAATAGTTGCATATTGAACATATAGAGTATCTTTTCATTGTTTCTTTTATAAATATACTAATCTTCCAGAAGCAAACAGAATGTATAAAGCTACAATACAGCATATGGGTTACCATCCTAGAAAGTAGTCTATTTTATGATTTTAACTAGAAGATGTTTTAGATTTAGCCTGAAATTGTACCACAGCCTGAG